TCCATCTGGGTCTATGGTTAAATTTACAATTTACAATGTCTGGATTACATAGCCCTGCGACAGACTGGCGACCTGTCCAGGGTGGACCCTGCCTTTCGCCCTATGACAGCTGGGATAGGCTCCAGCGCCCCCCGCGACCCTGAAAAGGATGAGCGGAAGCGAATGGATGGATGGATGGATGGATGGATTACACAGCAGTTGGGAATAGATTTCACCACAGTAGATGTCTTTCTAAGTGTTAGAACTAATTTAAAGATATAATTAATCGTCTTTTGTCATCTTTAATGCCATGTACAAACTGTGTGGAGCAGTTACCTGAACTCTGCTCCATCCAAGGTCGATTATCGTGTTGATAATTTTACATCTTCACGGTATCTGACCCTGGACACTGTAGTTCCTCTGAAAAAGAAAGTCTTAAATCAGAAGTACTTGACTCCTTGGTATAACTCTCAAATGTGCACCTTAAAGTAGAATTAATAATTCGCAAACTGCAGAGGAAATGGCATCCACTAATTTAGAAGATGGTAAATGGTAAATGGCCTGTATTTGTATAGCGCTTTACTAGTCCCTAAGAACCCCAAAGCACTTTACACATTCAGTCATCCACCCATTCACACACACATTCACACACTGGTGATGGCAGCTACATTGTAGCCACAGCTGCCCTGGGGCGCACTGACAGAGGCGAGGCTGCCGAACACTGGCGCCACCGGGCCCTCTGAAAATTCTAGAAAGAGTAGTTGTCAAACAGCTAACTGATCGTCTGCAAAGGAATGTGTCAAGGTGAGCTGTGTGGCAGGCAGGGTTTGGACCCAAACGCTAGAGTCAAAGATGGTAAACTTAGCTTAAAGTCCCAAAAAGTTGATTCTGTTCATCTGGACATAGCTTTTTTTAGTGGGAGAAACTTTTCGTCACTCATCAAAGTGACTTCTTCAGTGTCAGCTGACTGCTGGTTTTCCCAACCTTATAAGCAGTACATTTGCACAATAACTGAGACTAGCCCACTGAATGAACAGTGGGCTGTGAGGTCAGTTCTTTGATCATTTAACTTAAAGTGTCAGCTTTACTGCTGGAAAAAACGAACTAAAACAAAGTACATACATACAACAAGAAACAAACGAAATATAAACTGGAACTAAGGATCTTGAACTTGGAGCACATGACATGACAATACATTACAAATGTAAGTTTGAGTAGTGAAAATGTCCATACTGAGCACCATACTGGGCAGTGGGCACCTTGACTGGTCTGCAGCTTTGCAGATGCATATGCACTGCACAATTCTCACACCAGTTTGCACTTGCCTAATTTTCCTGCTTCTAATACATCAGCTTTGAAGACAAAATTGTTGCAGGTTTTTTTAATATACATATATAATATAAAATGCAGGCATAGGTCGTGTCCAAATTCATGGGCTGCATCCTCCTGAGGACCCGGCCTTCGCGGTCTACGTGGGCCGGGTCCTCAGAAGGTCGGGTAGGCCGGAAGTAAACGGCTGTGAAATTGGACGGTCTAGCCTTCTGATTAGCGTCACCGCTGTCTCGGTGGAGTTTAATAAACTCAGCCGTCTGCTCCTTGCTATCTAAAATATAACAGGACACTGGCGTAAATTCTCGACCATCTCACACTTCTGTTTAATCAGTTTTCTGTTTGACGTTTATTCAGCTGTGTGAAAACCAAGGAGGAACCCACCCGGGGGATTAATAAAGTTTTATTTTATCTAATCTAATAATACTTTAATCTCAGCCAAACCGATTTACTCACGAACAAACAAAACACTGAAAAAAGCCCAACAATAACATTTTTAGGTTGTCTAAGTGACTTATATATTACGTTTAACCTGAGTAGCGAAAGTCCGCGGTGATCTGAAAATGATGTGCCGGGAGTTGTGCCGTTCTCGGCGGCTTCAGTGACCCTCGAGCTCCCGGCTAGCTATCGAGCTGGTGGGTAAGCAGACGTCTCCGAAAACGTCGAAGCACTTTTGCAAATATGCGATATCTTGATAAACCGAGCAGATATTTGAATGTTTACACACCCACTTTCTCGCCTGAAAATATGTTAAAAGTTTATTTTGTGACCCAGAAAGATTAGATAAGAGTAATTTTAAAACTTAGTAGCGGCCGCCATTTGGAAACTGGAGTTTGGCTGGGCCGCGCTATGAATTCTGGGATATGGTAGGCCACGAAGGACACACCCGACCCATCCTTCAAATTCGGGGAAAAGGAGGACGCATTTGTCGGCTGCATTCGGAGGAGTCTACGAATTTGGACAGCCTTCGGCGCGTCGCTGTGACGTAATCGGTCTACAAATGCGGCCTCAGGAGGATGCAGCCCATGAATTTGACACGACCATAGTCAAACGATGTTCTGACATTATTTATGAGTCAAAATGCAAAAGGACTATTTATTTAAAAAAAAACAAATACAAGAAAACATGGTAGATGGTAAAGCAGTCCCTGTCTACTTAGAGACAGAGACTCGTTTTGCATGAACTGGATGACTTTTGCTTTTGTACAGAGTGCAATTTTACTTTGCTTTGGTGGCCATGCTTGCCTTGTTGTCTTCTGCAGTTACTTGTGGAGGCAGGAAAATAGCTGCCGCTGGGTTTTAGTGGGCACCTGGATTCGAATGAAACACACCTCTCCCTTGTGCCATCACAACACTTTGTTAGCTGTGAAGACAGCGTGGAAGTTGCTGTAGATCAAAAGTTCTCTGGTGTCCATCCAACCATTACACTGGTTGGATGGACGGCTTCTTTATCCACAGGTCTAAAAGTCAAAACCAGAGCCAGAATTAATGTGTACTCTGAATTGTGAGCTAGTGCAATTGAATTAGTGATGTTGTGGTATGTGAGTACTTCAAAATATCCAGCTTGGAAACATCTTTGGGCTTTAAAGAGATATGCAACTGAATGTCGCCTTCATAGCAGCGAGAATTGTCACTGAGATTTCCTTAAAAGTGCTTAAAATGTGCTGAAGAGGAAGAAATCATAACAGAAACAATAAAGGCCCAAAACAGAACTTTATAGTAGGAGAAGTCGAAGAGAACCAGAACTTAAAAACAGCCACAGACAAGAAACATTGAGACAGATATCATCCAATACTAGACATTAGTATCTCAGCCTATTGATCAAAATGTTCAACGGTATCAGTAAGGCAGAGGTCAAGGCAGAACAAAACTTCGCCTGCATCAGTATGCAAAATGTCAATGGAGACGCTAAGAAGGGCTGTCTCTTTGGAACAGTTATAAGATGTAAACTGGTAAGTTTCAAATCTTAGCAGTAAACTGTAATTTTCAAATTGGTCTTTAAATTCTTTAAAGAAGAGAAGGGTCAAGATTTTTTCAAAAAAGAGGGTGGATGACAACATTTTTTATTTAGTTTTTTTAAACCTGTCCTGTCCGGCAGTTTTAGCAAGCAGATTCAGTTCAGGTTTATTTATTTAGCACCAAATTACTATAACAGTTGTCTCAACGTGTTTTATGTTGTAAGATAAAGGGCCTACAATGATACAGAGAAAAAAGAGAAAACCAATTAGATGAGCCCCTGTAAGAAGTGCTTTGGCGACAGAGGGGAGTGGGAAAAAATCTCTTTTAACAGGAAGAACCCTCCAGCAGAACCAGGCTCAGGGAGAGGTGGCAATCTGCCACTACTGTTTGGCAGTAAAGGGAGGAAGATAGGACAAAAGACATGCTGTGGACAGGAGCCAGATATTAATATGAACTAATGATTAAATGCATTTCATTAAAATGGGATTCCTCCAGAAGCCTATTGCAGCATAGCTAATTGAGGATTCCAGGTCACCTGACCCTGCCCTAATTATATGCTTTATCAAAATGGAAAGTTTGAATTCTAATCCTAAAAGTAGAAAGTATGTCTGCTGCCCAAATCCAAACTGGTTGCACAAGGCTGAAGCCTCTTAACCCCCATTCCACTTTAAATACCCTTGGAAACACAAGTAAGCTCCCAGTCTGAGAGTGACGTGCTCTAATGGGGTGGTGCAGTACTTTGTTTTTAAATTCAATTTTGGATTTAACCAGGGAGCCAATAAAGGGAAATATGTTCTCGCTTTCTAGTCCCTGTCAGCGTTCTGCTGCATCATTTTGGATCAGCTTTTCAAGGAGTTTGGTGGAAACATCCTAATAATAATGAATTGCAGTAGACCAGCCTAGAGGTAATAAATGCATAAACTAGTTTTTATGTCTTTAAGACATTTCTGCAGGTTAACTAATTGGGGTGTGTTATCTGGCTTCAGAGATGGATAAAGTTGGGTATCATCTGCATAGCAGTAAAGATGTATGCTATGCTTTCTAAAGACACTGTCTAGGGGAAGCATAGACAGAACTGGTCCTACCATGGAACCCTGTGAAGCTCCGTTATTAACCTTAGTTGACTACAAATTTAATTCTAGGTCACATTAATCTGGAGAGAATATCTGCCTCAATAAAAAAAACAGTTGGATGAATCTGTTTTAGGGGGAGCTCGGCTTTAGTCTCATCTACCTATGTGCCTTACAGGTGGCCAGGGTTGGTCTTTGGATCTCTGGCGACTTTTCAGGGAGCTGGAAAGCTGGGGCTGCTGTTTCTGGGTATCTGTGTGTCTGTCTTGATTGGTGGTGGTGGGGAGCATGAGTGATTACTGCCTTGCTGTCCTGGGATGTTAGGTCTGGGATCCTTGTAGTCATTGGTGCTTGCACTGGGCTGGGTAGCTTGCCTCTTCTGCGTGGGTTGGGTATGGATCTGTGGCCCTGGCACTCAAACATGTAGGGTGGGTTCTCCTTACTCTCCTTCAGAATGTCTGATTTACGCCTCTGGGGTCCTTGGTTGTCTGCAGCTCCTTTCTGGGGGGGTCTTTTGGCTATTTGCCTCTCAAGTTTATCTGCACCTTAGACATTGAGGGTTTTAGGAGGGAGGTGTGGATGGACTCTGTTGACCAGCTAGTTAGGCTGGCAGATGGAGTATGTAGCCACTGTAATTCTATCATTTTGCAATCTGCCCCTACAGGTTGGAGTGGGTGGAAATCATTGAGCCACGGACACGGGAGCATATGTATGCCAATCTGCTAACGGGTGAGTGCGTGTGGGACCCACCACAGGGTGTTTGCATCAAGCGTACCGGTGAGAACCAGTGGTGGGAGCTGTTTGACCCCAATACTTCACGCTTCTACTACTATAACGCCTCCACCCAACGCACAGTGTGGCATCGGCCTCAGGGATGTGACATCATACCCTTGGCCAAGCTGCAGACTCTGAAGCAGCACACAGATGCCACCATCACTCGTCCTCCAGGTGGCGGGCGGCGAGCATCTGCTGACAACAGCCCAGGACGGAACAGTGAAGTCAGCCGAGAAGGAAGCACCTCGTCCTCCCTTGACCAGGAGCTGTCCGAAAAACAAGGCAACAGAGAGGAGGCAGATAGGTAAGACTGAGTTAGTTACAGGTATACAGCACACTAGAACAATGCTTAGGGTAATGTTCATTAATCCATATGGATTAATATCAGCTAAAGAGCTAAAACAGCATGACAGTAAGTCATACAATAGTGGTACTTTACCTTTTTACTTCAGATCTACGAGTCTGTTATGCCATATCATTTTTATCTGCAGGTTGAAGCTTTATCATGGAAAGAAGGAGCCATATGTGAATATGATGTAGAAACACCCATCTTCTCTGGGCAAAAACCCATGTCAAAATGACTGAAACAAAATGGAAAACTGTTCTGTGGCCAGAGAAATAAAAACATTCTCATGAAATCATTTTTTAAAAGCATGTGTGCAACATCCTCTAAGCTTTAGAGGAGAAAGACCATCCAGCTTGTTATCATTTCTCAGTTCCAAATTCTGCGACAGTGCCTATATAACTGGTAGGTTGTACATATTGAAGGTTTTAGATCAAAATATGCTCCCATCCATCCAGTGTCTTTTTTGTAGATGCTTAAGCATTTCCACATACTGAAAAGATGCTGCTGATGCACGCTCTGATCTAGTCTGTTCCCTGAACTCAAACTCTAATTTTAAAATTATTTTCAAACCTTGCTGAAGTTTAGAATCCAGTTGCTGTTTGTCTTTTGGTCTTTCTGCCTTTACTTTTGTTTCTGTAACTGAAAAGAATGCTCTGTTGTGATTGAGTGACTGGCTGGCTCACAGAAATATAACTTCCTTTCAGAAACCCTTTGGTTGCGTTTGCAGTATGCCTTGGGACGTTACCCACTGGTATTTTAAACTGCTGTCCAATCACGTTTGCCGCATTTGGTCAAATCTGAGCAGAGTTTAGTCCTGCGCAGTTCAGATTATATTCTACTACTACTATCAGCAGTGGCATCATCATTAAATGGTAGTGATCCCGTTCTGTTGCAGGCATATTACTTCATATCATGAGCTTTTGCTCTCTTTCTGCATGCTTTTCTCTTCCCATCATTTAGGAATAAGTTAATCTTGGTTTTATTACCTTATAATAACAATCACTTTCAGATAAATGTGATTATGAGGTATTTTCTAATAATTACAAGATTAATTGTAACAGAGTAACTGGAACAGGAATTGATAAGCTTCAAAACAAACTTTAATATCCTCTAACTGCATCTATTCTTTTCTTTTTCAAAATGTCTCTCCTCTCTTTTTTTCTGCTCTCTTCTACCAGGACCTCTCCCTTCAGGTGGAATACTGGTACAAAAGAGCGAATGCTGATCAAGGTGACAGACAGAGAGCCCAGCTTCTTGGCCCATCAGGGAAATGGTTACTCTCCCTGTGACCCCTCCAGCCCTAGCACTCCTTCTGGAGGGGGCACCACCTCACGAGCTCGCTGTCCCTCTGGAGGAAACCCTTCTTCAGAACCTGACAGCTCCCCAGTTCTTTATGCCGACCGCCGTCAGTCTCCTTTTCTTAAGCGGGCAGAGCTGGGTGGCTCAAACACCCATCGACTCACTTCAGCTGACTCCCAGCCTCCTTCACCCCGCTACACCTATGAGCCCCCACTATATGAGGAGCCGCCCACAGACTTTCAGCCCCCACCCATCTATGAAGAGCCTCCCACTGACATGCACCTCTCTGATTCTTCTTCCTTCTACAGCACTGGCAAGTCACCTGCTCGAAAATCTTCAGTCCCCCTTTACCACTCCCCCAAGCAGGGACAGTCACCCTATGGCCAGCTGGTTCTGACCAGGCAGAAGTGTCCCGAAAAGACTCAGAGTTTGGAGTACAGTCCTGTGGGCAAGGAATATGTTAAGCAGCTGGTGTACGTGGAGCAGTCTTCTTCCAGTCCTCGATTCAAGACAGCAGACCGTCTTCTGCGTTACGGCACAACCGGTGGCTATGGAAGTTCATATGGGGGGTCCTACACTCTGCAACACAGCCAATCTCTGATCAGAGACCCCCGCCTCCTGCTGGACTACAGTGGAGAGGGTGGAGAGGGAAGCCAGAGGTTAGTTTATGAGGACTCCATATCCTGGACGTCCAGCCAGACACATTCCCTCTCTTCTTCTTCTACAGCCAGGCCTGGGGCTTTCTCTCCCTCTGGCAACCGCAAACGCAAAAGCCGCAAGCCATCCCTCCCACAGGAACTGACTCGGTATGGGGAGGTGGAGCTTACTGGGACAGCATCTGAGGCCATGCTGGCTCAGGCCAGACTTGCTTGGGAGGCTCAGCAGGTGATGAAACAGAGGTGCAGTTGGGATTCTGGGCAGGGAGGTGGTGCTTCCCAAGCTGGCAGCTCTAAAGATGGCTATGAGAGCGACGGAGCAGTGCCTCTGCCATTACCGGGACCAGTGGTGAGGGCGTTCAGTGAGGACGAGGCACTAGCACAGAGCGATGGCCACCACTGGAAACGCAGTACCTTTGAGCGGCTGGGGTTCCCTCAGGCCCTCCTGGAGAAAAGCCTCTCTGTTCAGACCAACCTGGCCTCCCCTGAACCTTACCTTCATCCCTCACAGGTACTGCTGCATGCTAGAATTTTCTAGCCATATTTAGAAGGATAGGATAATTCCATTATTATTGCTTTTGTAGTTCAGTTACCATTGCTAATCTATAACAGCTTTACTTAATGGGGGATTTATTGTGTGTGTGTGTATGAATAAATGTGTAAGAGATGGATAACGTGGCGCCACTTCCTTTGTACAAGAGTAAAGACAGAATTTCCCACTTATGGGGGCTGCCATCTTGATTTTTGGAGTCTGTAAGTCGTTGTGTCAAACTCCCATACACACACCCCCCCTTACACTTTTCATGTGCGCGACAATCTGGTGGTGTATTTATTGGAACTGACGGCTCATTAAATTAAGGTAAATACAACCACATGCTGATATTTTAAAAGGCACCCAACATAACATGCTATAGGTCTATGCTACATCATTTTGTAGCCGATAGTTTAAAGCATTAGCTAGCTTAGCAGTAGCTAACACTGTCTCTTTCTCAAAACGAGTCCTTGTGTGTATTTTTGTGTAACTGTAAAATGTTGTCAGTCGCAGCTTAAGTACTGTTAAAGTTCAGCGTACGTATCAAGTCAACTATGCTCAAAATGCACGGACATCTTTCTCCGCCCATTTTATGAAGGATGCATCGGTGTGGACTTGCATGTGCTTGGTACAGCCAATTATTCCAGAATGTATTTTGTTTGAAACTCAAAAGCAACAATGGCAGATGAGAGTGGCCACAAAACTTTAAGTGACATTTAAAATATAACTTTCTGTGACACAAATAAATATTGCTGGGCATCGATTTTGATTTCTCTGATTTGATTCCAATTCACAAGGTCCTGATTTGACTCGATTCGGTTTCGAAATATTATAATTCTGATCATTTATCAGTACATATCCATATATAAAAACAAAGCTGACACTTGTGAGACTTCATCAGTAAGCATCACAGCAGATGAATTTGTGTCGAAGTAACTGAGGATAAAATGCAGAAAAACATGAAGGAGATTTTGCTGGTCTAGCTTTTTTATAGCAGACAACCGCCTTAAAAATATTCTGCAGTAGATCAGAAATGGAAGAAAACTATGAATCAGCATATGAACATTACCTGATGCTGCTGAAGTGAAGCAGAGCAAAGTTACAGAGGTTTTATTAGAGACACAACTGAGAGTTTTGCAATTTGGAATCATTTGTTAAAGTTTACATTTCTTTGTATTGGACAGCAGAAATGAGGCTAAATTATATATTTCAAATACGTATTATCCTCTCTGGTTACCCTGGTATAAATGCCACTTTATTTCAGCTCTGAGGTACTGCAATTAAGGTGATCTTTCTCCTCTCTGACAGACTACAAGTTCTGAAGTTCTGCTCTTACGCTTTTTGTACACCTCTGCTGACACCTGAAATGTGAACTGTTTAAAAAAAAACCTTTATATACTAACAGATTATCTATTACTGTAAAAACCAACAAAAACCTTTGACTCAGTGGTGGTTCTTAAATGGAGATCTGCAACGATGAGATAATAGTGCCGTTCTGAGGGTTATACATTGAATGAAATTCAACACAGTCTGGCTTGCTTTGCATTAGCTGATTCTATAATACGTAAAACTTTAGTTGGAAATAGTGGGTATCACAATGGTGGTTATGAAGTTTTTCCACGAAGCCAAGCTTTCTGCTTCAAGCTTTCAGTGTACTTGGATAAAAATTGGTGTTTCGTTGATCTCTGTGGAAGAAGCCAAGCTGTTCCTTACTAAAACACAAAACGATCCCCACTTCAGTCAAAGATGTTACCAGATGATTAAAAAAATTATGATGATGCACTGCACACTACATGCTTAAAATAAAAGAATCGGTGAAAATGTGGCGCTTCCAGATGATTTTTAAACTAAAAGTAAACACAAACCACCCCCGACCAGGTTAAGGGCTCAGCACAAGTTACAAGTAAAAAGATCCACACGGAAAACTGACTTTCAGCTAGGGTGTGCTGGCTTTGTAGTATACCCTAGTTCAGTCGTGATGAATCATGGTCACTGACAGGAAAACAGCAAAACATATAGAGACACATGCTAGTCACATTTCTTTATTAATCATGTTACTTTTATTTGGTGGACATCAGCAGTGTTATCACCAAACTGAGGTATTAGCAAAAAACTGGACTGATACTACAGGCAGCTGATGATGAGCTTGAGCTTAAGAAGAGAAGCCTGTTAAAGTATAATGCCCATAATAAAAGCACAGTAAGGATAACACTAGTTCGTGACCAGGCAGGCCCAATGACTTTTCTGTTTCTCATATAAAAAAGAGGTTTTATTGCCTCGTTTTCAGTCCCCTGCTGCAGGTCTTAACATTCTTCCAGAAAGGATGTGCTCTAAGCCTTTGTCAGAGCAGTGATTGAATGAACATATGCAGAGGCTCAGACATGATTGCAGACGCGCTGAGAGAAGATGGAAGAAGGATGAGCTGTATGTTTCCTTACATACTTAGGGACTGTCTCTCTGTTTACCAAGAGGCTGTACAGACTGCAAAGACTGTTTATCTCAAACCTAATGTCCACAAATAGACACAAGCCTCAGGTACCATCTTGTAAACCTTTCAACCTTCACTCTTGCTGCTATCCTTTTGCCACAAATAACTCCTGACACTTGTCTCCAGCAACTCTACCCTGGCCCCCTCTCTTTTCCACCTCTTGTGTCCTGTCAATTGCTTTGGAAATATTACTGATTAACTGAGGAAAAATAAAGTTATTTTGCTTGTTTAAAAATGAGGCAAAAACAAGTTGTGACAAAAATAAATAAATAAAATCTAGATAGTGATTCCTGGACTCCAGTTCAGAAAGGTCTACAGAGGGTTTCTCCACACGAAAACTCTACAGTTCATCCAGAAATCTCGTGCAGAGGTGAGTCGAGGTCATTAAATCAAAAGCACATGAACATTTAGGTAATTGCCATTAGCTTAGTGACCAGGTGTAGAATGAAGGTCTTCCTCAATCTTTACGAGTAAGCAGCAAATCATATGATTAGAATTTTATAGATTGTATTCATATTGGCCAGATGTGTATAATTATCAACCAGGGAGTCATCAGGCAGCCCTTCTTATACAAAAGATGCATGACACCTTGATAAAAGGTGAGTCTAGAAGCCTTTTTGCAGACTTTGTTATGCGTGGAAGTGAGCAGGTTAATTACACAGTGCAATTGTGGCAAGAGGCTGAGGCGTTACTGAGCTCAGGTGGAATAAAAGTAAACTCCTTTCTAGTGTCCAAAACAGCACTGTCTGTTCCTACGATCAGCATCACAACCTTTACTTTGTAAAACAAATGGCTGCTGATAGGAGCAGCTTTTTCCCCTCATGTTGGAGTTTGTTAAAGATGTGATTTGACCTTTACGTTTTCCAGGTGAAAAATCTACAGAAAGTCAGGAGCTGTTTCTCAATACCCAAGAACGCAAGTTAGTACTTGTTCTTGCTTGTGTGGACTTCCTGAGAACAGAGAATCCAGCACAATCATTCTACAAATGGAGGCAGTGCAGTTGATAAAATCACATCTCAGCTCAAGTGTGTTTTTACTGTCATTCCCTCCCAATTTCATTGATTAATATTTACAACAGAAATTACTCAATTTCCTTAGAATTAAACTAGATTATTTGTGTTTTTAAGCACTTTGACAAAATGTTTGGCTATAACAGGATCATTGATGTAAAATTGATTAAAAGATGCAGTAAAAACTGGACTGATTTATTCATTACATGCATACACGTGCCATATAAACTACATTATCTAGAGATGCTGATTACTATTATATAAATCCTTTTTTTAGATGTACAGAACATCTGCTCGCCTTTAGTGTTCATGGCCGTTGTCTTCTAACATTCAGAGATTTACTGATCTGCTTCATAGTGTCTAAGCTGACAAATGAGTATTAGGGCCATATTAGGGAATTAGTATTAGGGAAAAAAAATGTATTGATCATTTTGAGAGTAAAGTTAAAATACTATTTTAAGAAAAAAGTGTAAATGTGGAGGTTACCATTGTTTCAAGGCAGTCTTTCTTGGAACAACCATATACCCCCTTTAAAATGCCTTGTGTCGATAAGTTAGTAAAATCGTACTTCAAAATAGGTTTTAGTTGCAAGAAAGGAAATTATTTCCTTTTTTAGCAAACACAGTGTGGTGATAAGTTTAAGGATGTTGAAAGGATTGTGCAGAAAGCTGCGTCAGGTCAGAAGCAAAAAGCACAAAAATGTAAGAGTTGGCCTGATTTGTATAAAATGAAGTGGCTGGCAGTGGACAGATGCAGGGATACCGATGGTTACACTTTCTTTAATGAAAAGGATGTATGTTTTGTCAGAAGACAGTAAGATGGCTGATCAATTTCTTCCACTAACTCATCTACATAAGGCATTTTCTAGAGCGTATAGCAGCCTACATATAACGTCCATATTTTGACTTTTTTCTTGAAACCGAATGTTAACTTCGAATTATTCCTTCTACCGCTTGACAATATCCTTAGTCGAAGTCAGCAGCAAGTCACCCGCACTCGAGTAGGTAGAGCACTGTTTTCCTGTCCTGAGTCGCCTGACAGTATGCCAGAATTTCATTGAGGCAGTCTAAAAGTCTTTTTCCGTGGGCTCTCCAAAAGAATAAAATTGCAGAAACAAGCAGCAGAAATAAGCTTTCTCCAAAGGGTGTCTGACCTTTCCCTTAAGAAATAGGGTGAGTTTGGTCATCCGGGAGGGGCTCAGAGTAGCGCCGCTACTCCTTCACATTGAAAGGAGCTGAATGAGGTGGGTCGGGGACCTGACAAGGATGCCTCCGGGCACAGTCATTACATCACTGAAACACAAACTTCATCTCTCTTAATAAAAACATTAGACATGCACAGTTCGGTCTGCATATTGAACAGAAACAAACATGTCAGATGTTAGAACTGTCTTGTTAATACCGTAATATTTCAAACCTTACAGTTTCAGCTGTCATCTGTCATTGCCGCTTTTGATTTTGGATGAAATGCATTCTGAAAAACGTGGCTGCACCAAGCACACAAAGGTCACCCCCAGTGCATGCTCAGCAGAATGGGCAAAGTGAGAACATCTGGATGTTTTAAGCCTGCATGACTTGAATTGAATTGGAGTAGTACTTGGGCTGCAACTGATGACATTTCACAAGTCCACAAGAATACAGGTATACACAAGTATGCATATTGAGAACCAACCAAGATCTTGAAGGACTGCACAGGAGCGCGCCTCAGGTAGGTGAAAATCCCTCTCGCCCCTCTGTCCGACTTAAGTGGATAAGGACAGACACACATACATTTTAAAGAAATTGAATGGCAGCTGAAGCTGCGTGATCATTTCCTGTAAAAAGTGCAATTAACTTTACTGTAAACACTTTTTACATCCTCGTAATTCGATTTACAATAAAATTGCTGTAACTGGATTTTACTGCAGTTTGCTATAATTTTATTTACAGTAAAGCTACAGTAAATTTTATTAACAGTAAATTTACTGTAAATTTAATTGGTAATTATAGCAACCACTGTGAATTTAAATGAGCTTTGCTGTAAATTCAACAGCAAATTCCTGGCAGCAGGACGTTATTTTAGAATTTACAATAACCAATTTGCTATATTGTCTATATTTTACAGTTACTGTATTTTTTTTAAACTATCTGTATTTAGATCATTTGTAGCATATCTTTATTTAAAGTAGGTCTTTATTTACTGTATCTTTATTGATAAAATTCTTAGTGTTCTCCAGTTTAATTTATACTATTAACTACTAAGATAGGACTAAGATAGTAAAGCACTATAAACTACATCTGACTCCTGTTCCTTCAAAAGGCAGTTGATCATGAATATTTCTCCTTAAAACATGCTTTTTAATTGTTGAAAGCACAGTTTGCAAATGTGTAAGAAAAAACTGACGTGTTTATAGTATACCAGTGTGTGAATGTGTGTGTGAATGGGTGGATGACTGGATATGTAAAGCGCTTTGGGGTCCTTAGGGACCAGTAAAGCGCTATATAAATACAGGCCATTTACCATTTACCATTTATAGTAGAAACTGAAAACATTCTGTCGTTTAATTGTTTGTTGCTTAATTACTTTGGAATTTAGAATTGGCTTCAAACGCCATTCAGAGGCACTTTGTATATAACTTATAATATGTAATATTCAATACTGAACTTTGATACAGTACTGTATATTTTATTTAATTCTTTGCATTTTTTTTGAAGAAAAGTTTATTTCAATGTTTTTACATTTCAGAGAACATAATATTAGATTCAGCGATTAGTTTTAGTTGGATAACCTTATCAATTTCCTGCTTTAATTCTAATGCCACACCCATATAATTTTTTTTAATTGATATACAAACAAACATAATCATAGTGGTTCTTACACCTATGATGCCTTTGAATATCTTTCTTTTGTTCAAAGCTGTTATTTCTAAAGAATGACTGGACTTTGTTGCTCTGAAATAACCTTGCCAATATTGACAAATTAAAATGTCAGTCTTGAATTTGCTACCTGAGTGTTAGTAAGTGCTAAAGAAACTTTATAAATGTTTTGCGGCACAAGATTAATTGTCTGTTTCCTCACTCCCTCTCTGTTTGTCCAACTTTAAGTCAGAGGACCTCGGAGCTTGTGCCCAATTTGAAGCCAGTCGAAATGCAAGGAATATGATGCCTAGCGCCAGCTGTGGCATTTTCCCAGAGTTCACCCTGAGGAAGCCGTCCTCGGAGACCGACATTGAGAACTGGGCATCCAAGCACTTCAATAAACACACACAGGTATTCACAAAAATATAAAACACAAGCCTGTTTCCTTTTAGTGATTCTGAACCTGATATCTCTACTGTATAAAAACGCTTTATGTATCCTATACTTTATTCTAATGGTCTGTTTTCAAGATCTCTAAAGGAAAAGGTCATTTAATTTTTACAGTTATCTGACTATTTAACATTATCCAGTTCATGCTTTTAATTAATTAATTTCTATGCATGTGAAACAAATAAATTAACAGTCAATTAACATTATAGTAAGACTGTAACAACAGCATTGCATTAATAACACTGTTGATTTAAATGATTCTGTTGATGGTGTCACATACTGACAGTAAAAAGGTTTTATTATAATAAATAGACAGTAATTATCTACCCAAAGCGTAGACACACCTTTGGCTCTTCAGGTTGGAGGTGTCTGTATTCAGAAAGGGTCCCTAGGCTACACCCCCTATGCTAATAAATCATACTTCACATACAAACGAAGACATACCGACTCGGACTTGCCTGGATTCAAAAGGTTAGGTCAGGTGTTGACAAACCAGGACACACTAATGAGAAGTGTGCTGCTGGAACATGAAGGCACAAGTGGGCAAGAGATAAACACAAGGCATTGTTGGAATGCTACTACACAAGTAACCCCAGCAGAAGGGGTTACTTGAAGAGGATGTGCAACCTATGGATTTTTTGATACCCGAGCAAGGCACAGAAAGGAATTGGGAGGAATACCAAAGGAGTGAAGGAGTACTGGTAAACAGAGCAGTGGCCTGAGACTGCAAGGCTAGGCTGACCCTCAGAGCCTTTATCAGGAACTTGTGACATACAACACTAGAAGCCATCTTCAAGCCCATAGCACGAGTTGCCATCAAATGCTGGATCTACCAAGGAGATGCACTGTCCCCACTGCTGTTCTGTATAAGCCTGAGCCCTCTCAGTGAGATCATTGACAAGACTGGCTACGGACTTGTTCACTGGTTTTATTACTACGGAACGGAGCAATCTCCTGCAGAGGATCAGGCAAGTTCTAAGAAGTCAGCTGAACAGTAAGAACAAGATCCTATCTGTAGGTAAGAACGCCTATGCCCAGGCAGCAGAAACCCAAGAAAGAAGAGGAGGAACCAACATGAAAAGATAGGCCCCTGCATGGTATGTACCACCAGCAGATAGAGGAAGTAGCTGACATCCAGAAATCCTACCAGTGGTTGCAAAAAGCTGGACTGAAAGACAGCACAGAGGCACTAATCGTGGCAGCACAGGAACAAGCTCTGAGCACAAGATCCATAGAGGCTATCACACAAGTGCAGGCTGTGTAAAGATGCCCCTGAGACAATCCAGCACTTAACAGCAGGATCCAAGATGCTAGCAGGGCATACATGGAACGCCATGACCAAGTGGCCGGCATAGTGTACTGAAACATCTGTGCCGAGTATGGCCTGGAAGTCCCGAGGTCAAAATTGGAGGTGGTGGAGAATGACCGAGCTAAGATCCTGTGGGACTTCCAGATACAGACAAAACGGTGGTGGCTAACCAGCCAGACATAGTGGTGGATTAACAAGCAGAAGAAGACGACCGTAGTGATAGATGTAGCGATACTGAATGACAGCAACATCAGGGAGAAAGAACGCAAAAAGCTTGAGAAGTACCAAGGGCTCAGAGAAGAACTGGAGAAGATGTGGAGGGTGGAGGTAACAGTGGTACCTGTACCTACAAGTGGTAATTGGAGCGCTAGGTGCGGTGACTCCCAAGCTAGGTGAGTGGCTCCAGCAGATCCCAGGAACAACATCGGAGATCCTTGTCCAGAAGAGCGCAGTCCTAGGAACAGCAAAGGCCCTTTGTTGTCTTGATGTCAGCAGCTTGTGTCTCCTCCTTTGAGCAGCTTGTTATCCCACTTTGTTACTATCAACTGCACTTCTCCGGTCTGAATGACATTCCAATGTCACTGCTGCAGCTCCCAGTGGTGTGGGTCAGTGAATCGATGTCTCAATAACTCCTGGCATTTAGCTTGATGTTGTTGGTATTAGAAGCCAGTCTTGTTAATCGTCTCACTGAAGGGGTTCAGGCCTATGCAGAACAGCAGTGGGTACAGGGCAGATCCTCAGTATATCCTGCATTTGATGGTGACTTGTGTATTTGGGTTGAATTTGACCTCAAGTGTTTTTTGCCACATCCCCATCAAATTCCTGATGAAGGCTCTTGAGGTCATGTTGATGTCGAAGGCATTCCAGCATCCATGTGTAAGCCACTGAGTTATATGTTTTTGGGCGGTGCACTGGTTGGTCAGTCTGGTCTTACAGTCTTGAGTGACAACTCAAGACTACCAGGGGCTGGGACCCTCTGGTGTTTCTGCCGGTTCCTTCCTGAGCCCCACTTTTGCTAAATTCTCATACCTAATAATGAATGCAACCTGTAAGTTGCTACAGTGGACAATGAAACAGACAGTAACAACAATCCCCCTGCAGTTTCTCCAGAAACGGTCATTTTGATTTCAATCTGTTTCTGTTTTAACCATCTGTTCCCCAGATGGTTAAAGCTTGCTTCCAGGTTGTTAATTAGAAGGTCTAACCCAGATGGATTTAATGTGTTTATGAATGGTAGCAATATCTTGATGAAATGCCTGTAGTCATGTAAAGTACATGCTAATTTCTCCAAGGTCAACCTTTCTTGCTATATTCAGTAGAGGCATATTCAGCTTTGCACTGTCAGTAGTTTATACACTTGGTGCAGCTGTTGCTAAAATTTAGTGAAAGAGTGATGACCTCATATCATATCCAAACTGATAATCTTTACCTTTCACTTAACTTAAAAAATATCTCAAAGCCTTTTAGGGCTATGAATATGTAATATTTTCAACAAAAAAGGGAAAATGTACAACTATAATTAAATTAAATAAGATTTTAATTTATACAATGTCAGTTCATAGCAACGGGTTCTTCAATGGCTTTATACTGTAAAAAAAGGCCTTTATGAATTTAAGATGATCCCCATTAACAAGTATTTGGTGACAGTAGTGCAGAAGAAATCCTTTTAACAAGAAGAGACTTCAGGAAGATGCTCAGGGAATGGCAGCCATAATTCTTTGCTGAGACAAGGTTAATTAAATGTCAGTTGCTCTCTTAGCATCTGTTTCTGTGTCACTTAAACAACTTTATATTTCTCTGAATCCCTGATTTCTTTCCTCAGGGTCTTTTTAGAAGAAAGGTCTCTATTGCCAACATGTTGGCCTGGAGCAGTGAGCCTATCAAGAAGCCCATGATTGTGACTTCAGACCGCAGCGTGAAAAAGGAGGCAGTCGAGATCTTTAAACTCATCCAGACCTACATGGGAGACCGTCGCTCCAAGGCCGACCCCCTTTCTGTGGCTCTGGAGGTGAGTTTTTCTAACTTTCTCATTATGTCCTTATAAATAATTTTATTTCAGCACCTTCACTAGAAAACTGACACTGAGTCCAGAAGTTTGGTACAGTGTGTACACAGCCACTGTGCTGTTTAAAAAATGAGTAAACTGGCCAAATATAGGCCACAAGAAGAACTGGAAGGCCAACAACCCTATTTACACTAAAGAAGGATAATATGAAAAAAAAAATCCAGTGACCTGAAACATTCAGACTTTTAATGGAATAAAGGATCATTTTTATTTCTAATCATCATCAGAATCATAGAATAGAACAAGTCAGCCAAAGAAAGAATAGCTGTGGGAAGTTTTACACGGAAACCGAGAACTTGTCTTGAAGACTGCTTAAAGAAATTACAAGAAAGCTTCCTCAAGACTGTACTGAACAATAAAGGCGGTCATGCCAAATATTGACTTTCAAGCTCATTTCAAGTTTAGAAACTCTGTTCGTACCCTTTACCTTATACTGTATTATATGTTTTATAGAGTTCAATAGAGCACTGTTCCATTTCCCATTTTCCTACCAACATAAAAAGAAATGAGGGGTGGATCGTGACTTTTGCACAGTATTTTAGCAAATGTTTAAAGTGAGACATTTTACTATTTCATAAAAATATTAGCTAATTTGGTTAATTGTCAACAGGTCAGTAACACGACTTGGTTTTGTTGCGAAATCGATCAATGTAGAGCAGTGTCACAAACCACGGAGGCCCCAGAAAAGTGCAATCAAACGTTGAGTTTATTAACAGCCCGGAGAAAACATCAACATATGTCTTCTGACCAAAATACATGTTGTGGACACTTATAAAGCAGTGGGGTACACGCCCCCCCATGGCGTCAATGACGGATTAAAATAGGTTCCAGACATTAGTCACAGTTAATCGTACATTTTTAATAGCTATAAGCAGACATAGAACTTCTCTTTTCTATAACAGCTTCCATACAAGGTAGTAAACTTCAAGCCCTCAGGGTCTCTGAGGCTAATTATTGACTCTGGTCGTCTGTTACCAAGTAGAATAAAATATAGTAAGACACCAAATGAGTTAAGGCCTCAGGCCAGACACATTCCTAGATTATATGTATTATATGTACTGTAAGCATGCATTGCAGTTATCCTTCTATGTTCTAGTTTCCCTCAGCATGTATCACCTGGACAGTCACGCCAGTGAAGCTTAAGACCCTTAATGAACCGAACATCAAATCAAAATAAGCACAGATATGCAATGTGTATAAAATATTTCTAACCGTACTTGTAATAAAAGTTAACATAATGGAAGGATCCTCAAATGGACATCTTCAATAAACAACTGTAATGCAGTATCAATACTGTGAGAAATATTATTAGATGAAATAATGCTGTAAAGAATGTTATTAATGCAGGTATAATGATGCAGATTATATGGCAGCAATAAAAGAATTTCTGTATCTCCACAGTTTAAAAAGACTATAAAAAGAGGCACAATAATGTTCCTTAATGTAAAATTGAGTTAAAAAAAAACTTGAATATTTCGTTATCTACAGAACAAAATATCATCAAAAGATTCAGAAAATATGAAGTCGAAAAACCAGTATTGGATCCCTGTGTTATTTAGGCCCTGTGGTGGCACTATATTGAAAACAGTCATTATTCTCTCATGGAAATGACTGCAGGCTCGGAAACACTTTGTCTGTGAACATTCCTGTGATATTCACAAATGCAGGTTAAAGGTTTATTATGCAAAGATGTGATGCGATGTTCTCTGGGCTAAGGGTCCTTTTAAAATGGACTGGGCTAAGTAGAAGACTGTTCTGTGGTCAGACGAATCAACCTTTGAAATTCTTAAAAACAAAGATACCGCATCCTCTGCATTAAATAGGAGAGAGACCATCTGGCCTGTTATTAACATTCAGTTCAAAATCCTGCACCCTGCCTATGGAACACTCACATCCAGACAACATATTTGCCAAGAAAAGCCTTGTATATTTCAGCAAGACAATGATAAACTGCATACTGGATTTGTTTCACTAACTGAAAACATCTGGCGCAACAAAGTTTTAAACATGGCTCTGTACCAACTTTTTTGAGACATGTTGCTGCCACCTAATACAAAATGACCTTACTTTTTCTTACAATGGTGCATCTTCTGATTTCCGATACTTGATATGTCTTTGTTCTATTGTGCATAAAATATTTATGACAGCTGCAAATCATTGCATTGTGTTTTCATATACATTTTATGCACCATTCCAATTTTTGTAGAATTGATGTAAATCAGTTGGACAGAAAAGTTCAAATGACCTCAAATTTTTTAACGTTACATGGTCCTCTGCCTGTCTGTCAGGTTGTGGTGCGTGGGTGGAGTAATCAGGGTTTGCGTGATGAGCTCTACATCCAGCTGTGTCGTCAAACTACAGAGAACTTCCGCTACGACAGCCTAGAGCGAGGCTGGGAATTGATGGCCATCTGTCTAGCTTTCTTTCCCCCGACACCCCGTTTCCACACTTACCTGGAGGGCTATATTTATCGACACATGGACCCTCTGAATGACACCAAAGGTGAGGGTGCAACACACATCTCTGCTATTTAGTACCAGTGACGCATGATCTGTCTGGAACCAAGTCACTTGGATGGTATTTTACTGAGGTGGCTTTTGATGGAAAGACTTGGATAAATTACACTCTTTACTCGTATTTAGCCAAATGCTTAAAGATTGACGGGACAGCACTTCATGGTGCAAATGGATATTGACAAAGCATTTTGTAAAAGTAACACATGAATTTTTCATTGAAAAGAAATTGACACAGCATTCGTCTTTCCTTGTCTTTTTGATTTTTACGACTTCTCCTATTCCGTACATTTTTCATTTATAACCCCTCAACATACAGGCACAAGACACAAACACATATATTCACACATGCACAAACATTTTTTTTCTACTCTACTTTATAAATTTGCAATCTCTCATAATGACATTGCCAAGTTTTGTAACTTAGAATATCTGTGGTGTTGGAACACAGGCAGAGACTCAAAGCGTCCGCCACATAAACAAACTTAAAGCTTACATTGTTTACATTTATTGTAAACTGACTCTCAGATATAAAAAAAACAACCTTTAACCACATCTTCTCTGCTCATTTTAATTCTAGACAAAGAGGGATAGTTATTTCGCTACACAAATCTATTGCTTTTACTCATACTCTTATGCCTTTTCGTTGCGTCGTCCTGCAAAGCACTGATCACTTCCACTTGTTAAGAACTGGCATTGGCCTCAACCTCAGTCTGGACTTTAGATTGGAATGAAAGTCTCCCACCCGAGATCGCAAGACCATCGGGTGTTTCGTGGGTTGTTGTCAGGAACAGCAAGCGAGAAGATAAAATAAAAGTGGGGATGCAGAGCTGGCTGTCGCATCCAGCTGCAAAAACAACCAATGCATCTCTCAAAAACACAATGGAGGAGCTACAATCAGAGATTTAATACAACTGCTTTATCCAGGAGTGTTGTCCGCTGATTGTAACTGAATCCAGTGCCTCAGTGGAGTTACCGGGCCAGAATCTACACCGCCAGGACTGGAGTGAATCTGGTAAGGGAAGGGGCGGAGCGTTCTGTCCTTATGTACTTCAGAACTGATGGCAACAGTAGAATTATAGACAGTCACTCCTAACCGTACTTAGAGGCCATGTCCAGTCAGTGCAGACGCTTCTATCTACCTCGCAAGCTAATGGTGTCACGATCACTGGCGTGTGTTTTAAGGGAGGACCAGATGCAGACAACGCAGGCAGAACTGAATTTAACAAAAGGGAGCTGGTTTATGGGGCAGATGGAAAAACATTAAAAAAGGCAATGTTGTTGCAGGGGACGTTAATAAGACATATTTAAAATCAGTACTCCCCAAATTGCACCAACATGTTAAGTGTACATGAGCAGAGGGGACAGGACAGTGGACCATGTGTAGAATAACATCAAGCGGGCCTAAAATCCAACACCCCTCCTCCACCTAGGACAATCTGACCATCTCTCTTCCCTGTCTCCACCTCCCTTAGGAAACAAACCTCTCCAAGCACCCAGGTCACTGAACCACCTAGGTTTTTCCTAACCAAAAATCTTGGATGACGAGTGAAGTACATGCTCTGATCTCGTAACTCAGCCTTCATGCTGAGGGACCGTTCTCTGTACAGCACTGCCAGGGACAACCTGAGGAGGAGGAGCATCAAACGGGCCAAAGAAGGCCTGCAGGAGGAGTATAGAGGGCTTCCTCACTGACAACAACTCCCGCCAGGTGTGAAGAGGCATTCAAGCCCTCACCAGTGTTTGAGGCGGATAGTCTCTCAGCACATGCTGCCTACTGCCCTATCTCGATCTCTACCAGTTTGTTTACAGACCAAATCAGTCTACGGAGGATGACAGGAAGAATTAAGTGAGGATGCTCTTCATGGACTACAGCTCAACATTCAACACCATCATCCCAGACATCCTTACCAACAAACTGGACCACCTCAACATCCCCCTGCCACCTGCTCCTGGATCACAGGATTTTCTAACCAACTGGAGTTGAGACAGCGTACAGGGCGGCGCGAGAGAATTTGTCCCACTGGTGCTCAGAAAACAACCTGAAGCTCAATGTCCTTAAAACAAAAGAACTCATAATGGACTTCAGGATGCAGTGACAGCTCCACTCCCCTGTCATTGTAAATGGAGAACAGGTGGAATCTGTCTCCACCTTCAGGTGTTATTTATTCCTGCTTTTATATTTTATTCTAGCACACTCTGTGTGAAGCACTCACAATTTCTTGTACATGTACAATGACAATAAATGACTATTCTACTCTATTCTATTGTTATTGGAGGAGATTCTATCACCAGACAGTTCCAACAGACATCTACATAACTCACAATCCAAAGAAATAATTAAATTCTATAAGAATGATTTTATTTTTGGTGAAGATATTTGACTAAAACAAGTACCAAGTGGTGATTTAATACCTTTCTGCTGACTTTGACATATACATTAAAAAGGAGTCATCCACGTCATCTACAAAAAGCAGAGATGAGATTCTGAGGCCGCTACTTGGTTATACCTAGAAATACTGTCCATAAATGTTGTGAACAAAAGTGACAAAGAGCAGTCTCCCACTGTAAATTAGTCTAACAGATTGCTGGCAATAAGGGATCAAGCTTTCGCTGCAGTTGTACATGGACATGGAATGGCTCATAAGAGCAGGCCAGACACCCCATGCTCCTACAGCGCCCTCCACAAGCATACAAAGCACACGTAGATTGGTTGGACAAACTTCCACATATATTCACGCTGAAACATCCTTGAGAGGATAAAGAGCTGGCCCATGGTTCCACTACTAGGATGGAAACTGCATTGTTGTCCTGGACCTGGGATTGTTCTAACAGACATATTGTCCTTTCCAATACCCCGGCCTAGTTGAAGCACATCCTCCAATCCGCTTTCTTAAAGATGGCATTCACCATCCCAGTCTGAAAATCCTGAGACACCACTCCAGATCTCCACACAATGTTACAGAGGAGTGTCAAACATGACATTCCTACAACATCCAGAGCCTTCGGGAGTCAAGCCTTTCTCAAGGAGGCTTGTTCCAAGACATTCATTGAGGTGAGCGTGACTACATCTACCCGGTATCTCTCAGCCTCATGCACTAGCTCAGGGTCCATCCCCACCAGAGAGGTGGCGTTCCATGTCTCGATTACCAGCCTCGATAGGAGGGGATTGGTCCGCCAAGGCCTCCACTCTTGGCTGCCCCTGACCGCTATGATGCCCCCTGTGAGTGGCAGGCCTATGGGATGTTGGGCCCATGTCGTCTCTTTGGGATGCGTCCAGCTGGGTCCCATGAACAGTATAGAGTAACTTGGGCCGACTGTTTTTGATTTAGAGTTACAGAAATAAAATTGAGTTGAATTAAGTAGTCATTGTGTTTTTACATGTCTATATCCACAAATGGTTTCCATAATGTTTACCAAATATCCAAGGAAATACAGTGTACAAGCCTAAAACTGAATATGTAAAATTCTAACAAGTATGAAAGTGAATCATTTGGTATAACCACTTTTATTCTGCAACACAACATGAACTCATTTGGTCAAGCATTCTTCTAATCTCTATTAGTAGTCCTCATAAATTGTTCTGCACGATTCTTTAAGGATATTCTAAAGCTCCTCTTTGGATGCAGACTGCCTTTTGTTTTGTTCTCCGTCCAGATGATTCAACAGTGCTTCAACAATGTTGTCCAAGCTCTGGTTGCAACTTTTGTCAAAGAGCTAGTGAGATCTAGCCTCTGCATGAGTTCAGCACTATTGTGAGGGATATACCATAATGTCCCATCATCAAGTGCCAATTTGTCTACAGCCACTTGCTATGCAAACCCTTTGAATCCTTTTATCTCCAAGTCCGTGTGCTATGGTCGGAATAAAGGATCTTTCTTAACCTTCCTCTTTTGTCTGATCATTTCCTAAAAATGTTTAAATGTACAATAATGAATTACACAGAGGTGGTGTGGGAGCCAAGTTAATATAGTACATATATTTCAGTATTTATATTTACTGTCAAACTTATTTTGTGTAATTAGTAATTTAATAAGTAAATTCATGGGTAATGAAAGTTATTTTATTGCATTCGTGTTGGCTTGGTTAAGTAAAACTGTGAATACCTTTGGTTTAAAAGTCCCGTGGAAATTTTTTCCTCTTCAGATGAACGTAGACGAGTGAAGCAATAGCTTTACATTTTCACTACATGCGACTCTGGATACCTTTGGAAAAATATTCATAACCATCTCACAGACAAACATTATGTACTTTCAATTTGTTAATATGTTTTACTCTTTTTTTAAACTCAGTGGTTTCAGTGCCTTTGGTACATTTACCCCTAACAGTGACTCAATCTCTGACTCGATTTCTAGAAGGTGAATGTGTCTTAAATGAAGCCAAATATCCTTCTGATGTGGAATGTTATTTACAGGCATGGTTCCAGGTTTTCTCCACTGGTGTATAATGGCTCTCACCGTGGCTCACTGGAGCATCACAGCTTTAGAAATGGCTTTATAACCTTTTCCAGACTTGTTTCTCAGGTGTTTCTTTAGATTGTGGCGTGATGTCTGGCTTTTTGAGATCTTTCAGTCTGCCGCACTTTGTCAGACAGGTTCTATTTAGGTGTTTTGATTCAACAGCTCTGCCAGTAATCAGGTGTGTTTAGTGAAACTGAACTCAATTACTATTTTTACACAGGACCAGTCAGGTTTGCAGAACTTTTCTCCTTTAATCAATGAAATCATCATTTAAACACTGCATTTTGTATTTACTTGGGTTATAATCTGAAACATGTAAGTGTGACAAATATGCAAAACACTAGGAAATCAGGAAGGGGGCAAACATTTTTTGGCACTATTGTAGGAATCAGTTCTTTTAACATTTACCGTTTCTCTAAGAAGTAAACTGTAGTCCTGAAGTACCTTAACGTCCTCTGATTTAACGAGCTCGGTTTCATTGACGATTCATTTCCAAAATGTTCCTGTAACAAAGCCTTAGCTTGAGTATAACGTCTTGTGCTATTTCCCTTGGGTGACCTCTTGTAAATTGCAACAAAATTACTTTCAGCACTTTTTTTAAAGTCTCTCATAAACAACTGATGCTCCATCTCTCCTTTAGTCAGAGATTACAATTACTGTTGTTGTACTAAGTTTTTATTTCATTTTGCTTTTTCAAAACACAGTAATAGTTGCTGCCATTGCCTAAGCAATTATTGAAATTAGAAGTGGTTCTCCGAAGCAAATTATCATTGATGTACATATATTGAGCGCTGGCTTGAGCATTGAAGCCTTATTCACCAGCTCCACCTTGTCATCCACATATGGACACTTCCTACTTCAAATCTCAGATGGCAACAGCCAAAGCGCCATAATCAAATCTACAAAATGGTAATCCAACACCAGTGACTGACATCGTGAGATACAGAATCTCCACAGATCGGAAGAATGTTTGAGTTGTTGTCGTGCTAATGAATCAATTTAAGACAACTAAAGCACTCTCCTAATGTTGTTAATATGTTGTCTTTTTCTGTTGCTCAAGGTGTGGCCATTAGCAGTTATGCTAAATACTGCTACAGGAAACTGACAAAAGCTGCACTCACTGGAGCCAAGAAGGTACGGAGCGCTGTCTGTCCACATGTCTTTACTTCCCCTTTTCAACCTAGTCTTTATTGACACAAATGTTCATTTCAGTGATGCAGCCTGCAAAAGAAGAACATGTAGACATGATATTTATGAGTATAAATATATTCATAAATATGTAGTATGTAGTTTAGTGTATTTAAATTTGTAAGCCTAGGAGAAACAATACCTGACTATTAACGAGGAAGAAATGGAAGGAGCAATTGGAAGAACTGTACATTTCAGCCAGTTTATTTAATAATCTAAAGCTCTTAAGAAGGTTTATTACACATTTTATACCCTTGATCGCTATAACCTAATGTCTAATAATTTTGGAAGGGCTATGTTATCAAGAAACAGATCAATTTTGTGTTTAGATGAGCTCATCTGTGGTGAATATATATTTGTTTTCTGATGAGATGAGAATGAACTTATTTTTCCTCTCATCACAGCTTTTCCTGCCTCCCAGAGACCACATACTGATGTTCCAGGCAGGTCATTATAGTCTAAATATAAAGCCCACTCTTTTTTAAAATATTTAATAATATCTTCATTTATAAGCAATAATGTGTTAAATTTCCAGTTTTTACTTGGCTGAATGACCTACTTATGTATTAGAATTAAAGACAAGGGAGCATGATCCTTGACAGGTATAAGGTGTATTTCAGTGTCTGAAATGTCACTCAACAGTGAGCTGCTGACTAGGACATAATCCAGACAAGAGTTAGAAAGTAAACTCATGTGAGAGGAAAGTATGTTCCCATGGTTGACGTGTAGAGATCGCCAAAATCCATAATCGCTCAAGTACTGTTTAACTATATTTGTGGATTTTTTCACTGACATCTTAATACTTGATACTTTTGAACGTTCCTTTAGTACTCAAAATGCTCTCAGCTCTGCCTCAGCTGCCCTGCAGTAACTTATCTGTGTGTGTCTGTGTGTGCGTTTCTGTCACACTTTTTCAGGGTGTGCAGAAACCCTGCATAGAGGAAATCAAGCATGCCAGGAACGCCATCTTCAACCCTTCCATGTTTGGGTCCTCCCTTGAGGAGGTCATGGCACTCCAGAAGGAGCGATATCCAGACCGCCAATTGCCATGGGTACAGACTCGCCTCTCTGAAGAGGTTCTGTGTCTCAATGGAGACCAAACAGAAGGCATTTTCAGGTGAGTGAGGAAAGGAGCTAATGGGACCAAATAGCCGATAGAAGACTGCACAGTATGAAAACAGATGTGAAAAAATGAAACAAAATAAAATTAATGCTTTACAAACATTAAATTCTGTGAAGCATTTAATGACTATTTAATGTGTTATTAGTTAGTGGAACCATGCAAAATCTTACTATAAATAATTTCTTGGTCACATGCTCTTAAAGTACATAAGTCTTGGTCAAAATGTGGAGCTTGTCATGTTGCATTATTTTTGCCAGCCCTCAAACTTCTTAATTACAGAAGGTAACCAGGTTAAGTTTTAAGGGCTGACAAACAGTCAGTTTAAAACAAAGTTGGGCAAGTTAATGACATATAATCTTTTAATACAGTGGGGCAAAAAAGTATTTAGTCAGCCACCGATTGTGCAAGTTCCCCCACCTAAAATGATGACAGAGGTCAGTAATTTGCACCAGAGGTACACTTCAACTGTGAGAGACAGAATGTGAAAAAAAAATCCATGAATCTCACATGGTAGGATTTGTAAAGAATTTATTCGTAAATTAGGGTGGAAAATAAGTATTTGGTCACCTCAAACAAGGAAAATCTCTGGCTCTCACAGACCTGTAACGTCTTCTGTAAGAAGCTTTTCTGTCCCCCACTCGTTACCTGTATGAATGGCACCTGTTTGAACTCATCATCTGTATAAAAGACACCTGTCCACAGCCTCAAACAGTCAGACTCCAAACTCCGCCATGGCCAAGACCAAAGAGCTTTCGAAGGACACCAGGAAAAGTATTGTAGACCTGCACCAGACTGGGAAGAGTGAATCTACAATAGGCAAGCAGCTTGGTGTGAAAAAATCAACTGTGGGAGCAATCATCAGAAAATGGAAGACATACAAGACCACTGATAATCTCCCTCGATCTGGGGCTCCACGCAAGATCTCATCCCGTGGGGTCAAAATGATCATGAGAACGGTGAGCAAAGATCCCAGAACCACACGGGGGGACCTGGTGAATGACCTGCAGAGAGCTGGGACCAAAGTAACAAAGGTCACCATCAGTAACACACTACAACGGCAGGGAATCAAATCCCGCAGTGCCAGACGTGTTCCGCTGCTGAAGCCAGTGCATGTCCAGGCCCGTCTGAAGTTTGCCAGAGAGCACATGGATGATACAGCAGAGGATTGGGAGAATGTCATGTGGTCAGATGAAACCAAAGTAGAACTTTTTGGTATAAACTCAACTCGTCGTGTTTGGAGGAAGAAGAATACTGAGTTGCATCCCAAGAACACCATACCTACTGTGAAGCATGGGGGTGGAAACATCATGCTATGGGGCTGTTTTTCTGCCAAGGGGACAGGACGACTGATCCGTGTTAAGGACAGAATGAATGGGGCCATGTATCGTGAGATTTTGAGCCAAAACCTCCTTCCATCAGTGAGAACTTTGAAGATGAAACGAGGCTGGGTCTTCCAACATGACAATGATCCAAAACACACCGCCCGGGCAACAAAGGAGTGGCTCCGTAAGAAGCATTTGAAAGTCCTGGAGTGGCCTAGCCAGTCTCCAGACCTCAACCCCATAGAAAATCTGTGGCGGGAGTTGAAAGTCCGTGTTGCTCGGCGACAGCCCCAAAACATCACTGCTCTCGAGAAGATCTGCATGGAGGAATGGGCCAAAATACCAGCTACTGTGTGTGCAAACCTGGTAAAGACCTATAGTAAACGTTTGACCTCTGTTATTGCCAACAAAGGTTATGTTACAAAGTATTGAGTTGTATTTTTGTTATTGACCAAATACTTATTTTCCACCCTGATTTACGAATAAATTCTTTACAAATCCTACCATGTGGATTCATGGATTTTTTTTTCACATTCTGTCTCTCACAGTTGAAGTGTACCTCTGGTGCAAATTACTGACCTCTGTCATCATTTTAAGTGGGGGAACTTGCACAATCGGTGGCTGACTAAATACTTTTTTGCCCCACTGTACATATATTTGGATATCAGATTTCTCTTCTAGCCACAATTATGTGTCAGTTTTCAACATATTTTTAATGCATTTCAAAAATGATGAAGAAACATTTGTGTTTGTATAAGAGTTGCTACAAGTCTTTGTGAGTAGTTATGTGGTCAGCAGGTTGTGTGTGTTGTATCTGCTGTCTGCATGTCTGAGATGAAGCTCTTGTACATCCTTGTGTTTCTGGTTCTCACACTCTTTATGCAAAACAACTATGTAGCATAAGAAGAGGGCCGGAAGTGTAAATATCCTGTGACATTTGATCTCCAGAGTACCAGGGGACATAGATGAAGTCAATGCCCTCAAGCTGCAAGTGGATCAATGGAAAATCCCTACAGGACTGGAAGACCCACACATTCCTGGTACACATACACACTGTTGAATAGTGCTACTGAACACTGTGTCTCTGCAGCCCAGATATGATCCGTCTGCAGTAGATTGAGATGTTCAAATGACTTTCGTTCCTGAATAAGTGCTTTCTTAGAAATCTCAATTGGTGTCCTCTTCTGTATCTGCAGCCTCTCTGCTGAAACTTTGGTACAGGGAGCTCGAAGAACCGCTTATCCCTCACGAGTTTTATGAGGAGTGTATCACTCACTATGACAACCCAGAAGCAGCTGTCGGTGTGGTGCTGGGCCTGCCACATATCAACAAACTGGTGCTCTGCTATCTCATTCGATTCCTACAGGTAACACAAATATGCACAGGTTAGCACAGCTTGTCTAAGGAGCTGGAAAGAAAGCGAGTGGACTTTTTAACATTTCTTGAACACATTCCACCTCTCATCGAAGAGGCTTCTTAATTTCTAAAACCAAATGGTGGAAAATCCCAGGGATTTAAACCTAGTCCCTTAACCTGACTTACTATTAATCATGCACATCTGCCAGGGTGTGAAAAAAGGTATGGGTCATTACACTGGTTTCAAGTGAAACCAGTGTGAGACTTTGCATCACCCTGTCATGTGACCTGTTGAGATGACCCCATGCAACATGAGTTTAGGCACCTGGGAAGGGATCTCGAGACTGAATTGTAGGGGGCTGACAGCTGATGGCATAAACCACCCACTCTGTTCAAAGGTGGTCATTCACAGTGGACATATATGGCCTATTTTTCTTCTATGTCAAACCATCAGTCTTCTCCATCCAAAATTTGAACCTTTGCATCATCCCAAGACTGAGCTTTTTACTTAGAGCAGGTCATCTGCTAATTGTAAAGTTGGTGGTTCGATCCCAGGCTGCTCCAGTCAAAGTGCCAAATATGTTTGGGTAAGATACTAACCCTAAGTTCCTCTCTGATGCATACATCAGAGTATGAATGTGTGTAAATAGTAGATAGAAAGCACTTAGATAGAACAAGCATAGCAAAAAGTGCTTGTATGAATGGGTGAATGAGGCAAGTTGTGTAAAGCGACATATAACAACCAGTCCGTTTACCATTTTCCAGGTGTACAGCTGAAGTGGGATTTATAGTCCTGCAAATGTGTCCGTCCCGTACACTTTTCGTTTGGGCAGATAGAAGAGAAATATGTTTAAAAAGGGTTACAAATGTGTACAGTATGGTCCACAAACATAAATGAAGATTTATGAACGTGTGCAGTGATTTGTGTTTAACTTTTGAAGACTCACAAGCATGCGCTTCAATTCAGACTCAAATACAAAGCAATTTGACCACATATGAAACCATTTTAAAAATATGTATGCCCAAACCTGAATAAATACTGGTCATTTATACACAACTTGCCTCAAAAGGGTTGCAAATGTGTACGATATGATCCACAAGCATAAACTAAGATTTACAAATGGTTATCTGCACAGACATTTGTGCGCACAGAAAGGTTTTTGGATGGTAAAATTATCAGATTTGTAAAGCTGAGCTTGATAAGTTGTGCTTGACGTACCTGGCTGTCTTTGGTTGTGAAGTCTTTCCGTTTTAGTCTGGGCATTAATTGAAAGTAGTAAGTTTTGGTTTGGAGTGTTGGAATTTCTGGAGTTGTCTTTCTTTCTCTTTCGTGTGTTGTGCCAACTGTGCCTTGTCCACAAACCTCTTATGAAATGGAAGAAGGTAGAAGTTTTGTGAGTTCCTGCAGGGTCAGGTTGATCTCACTTTGGAGTGCTCTTCATACTTACTTACTTTGCTCTCTATAAGATCGGCCTCAGCTCTTGTCCCTTGACTGTAGACTCAAGGTGCAATCTCTTGGGAAGCAGTCCGGATTGCATCTCAAGTTAAAGCATGGGTGGTTTCTGTAGTCCGTATATTTGAACCCTAACTAGGATTTAAATACCTGGGACTTTATAACTGAAGCGTGAGAGGTGAAACGTCTTCAAGTAATTTAAAGAAGTTGCTTTCTTTCCAAGCTCCTTAGACTCCTTAGACTACCATGACCTGGATAGAGACATGTTAGCACAACTTATACTTCAACCCCAATTCCACAAAGGTTTGGATGCTGTGTGAAATAAATAAAAACAGAATGCAATGATTTGCAGATTTTGTAAACCCATATTTTATTCACAATAGAACACATAAAATATATCAAATGTTCAAACTTAGACACGTTTTTCACTTTTAATAAAGATATTAGCTAATTGTGAATGTAATGGCAGCAACACACCTCAAGAAGGTTGGCACAGGGGTAACAAAAGGTTTAAAAAGTATGTTATACTAGAAAGGATGAACATTTGCAAGTAATCAAGTTAATCATCAGTATTATGACTGGGTGTGAAAAGTACCTTAGAGAGAGAGTGTTTCTTAGAAGTAAAGATGGGATAACTACTGCCTCTGTTGTTGGATCAGCCTTTATTTGTCCTTTCTTCACAATGAAACCAAGCAATGACAAAAGTTCTGCGTGGAACTCGCACTTCTCACCTTTAACGTAGAACTTGTTCCCAAGAAGTTGTTGAAGCACTTGTCAGACAAGGCTTTCATGTTCCTGGACTGACTCTGAGAAGATCAAGATGTCACTGAGATAGGTGAAGGTGAAGCAGTTAAGGAAATCTCACAGAATGCTGTTGACAAGAGCCCCTAAACACAGAAGGGACGCTGGTGAGACTGAACGTCAGTACCAGATACTTTTGGAGAAGATGGTTCTCCAAAACCATCAAGCCAACCATCTGGTTCAGAAGACGACAAATGAAACTGGTATTTGTTTTTAAATTGTGATTTCTCTCAGACCAGTGAAATAAATACAGGGATGGAGAGTTTTGTATTTCTTTTCAACCAAAAAGAAACACCAAATGGTGAGAAAGAGGGACGGATGATTCCAGGTGCGAGAGAGTCAGAGATATAAAATTTTAAACATTAAATAAAAAAATATTCATAACCATCTTACTGATGTAACATTATGTCCAGCTACTTTCGGTACCATTGATATGTATTTAGACTCTTTCTCCTCTTGATCTTTCTGAATTAACTTCAGTCATTACTTCCTCCTAACCATCAATGAGTCTTTTAGACCTCATTCCCACAAGACTGCTCAAAGAAGTCCTACCATTAATTATTGCTTCAGTCTTAAATATGATCATATACACTACTGGTAAAAGGTTTCCAGGTTTCCAGGTTTTAATTAAAAAATTATGGAGTTTAATGTCTCGTTGCACTCTGAAATGAAAGCATCGTACAAATAAGCAGTTGGAGTTAAAAAAGAAATCAATTTATAAACCAAAATGTTTTTTAAACTTCTGACTCATCAAAGTTGCCACCTTTGGCAGATGTAACAGCTAAAAACACCCGTGGCGTTCTGTCTACAATAGAAATCAAATATTCTTCGGAAGCTTCTTCTCTATCTGTTGTAGAAGTTCCCATAAATGTTGGCAGTTGTAGCGTGCTTTGCTTTCACTCTTCTGTCCAGTTCATCCCAAATCATCTTGATGGGGTTTAAGTGTGGAGGCTGTGCTGGCCGCTCCATGTTTTCAAGCTTACCATCTTGTTCTTTTTTGCTGAGGTAGTTCTGGACTTATGTTCTGGGTTGTCTAAGGAGCTTGGAAAGAAAAGCGTCTGAACTTCTTTAAGTTTCTTGAAGACGTTTCACCTCTCTCATCCGAGAAACTTCTTCACTTCTAACATCTGTGACCTGGAAGTCCCAAGGTCAAAATGGGACACGCCCTCCTTCACAACATCTGTCATCCTACCACCTACCATCCCCACCGTACATGCCCCTCCCTAGTCCTGGTTATGAATAAATAAAGCACCTTGAGGCAACTGTTATTGTGATTTTCTGCCAAATAAATAAAGTTGAATTGAACTGAACATGACTGGATATTAAAACAGCATCTGAGAGCGGGTGAGTTATAAAGAAGAATGTATGTAGAGCAGATAAAAGACTGATAATGTTAATGATTCTTAGTGTAAACCTGCAAAGAACTTTGCTATTTCATCATCTACTTTTGAGTATTTGTGTTGCAATGAATGATATATAATGATATATGACATTTTTGAGTAACATATCTGATATTTGGTTATCTTAATACCAATCCACACTAAACTGATCTATTACCACTGAAAATGTGTTGTGAATTTTGGCAGAAACTACAACAAAGGAGACTATGGAAAACTATGAATACTATGAAATTTTATTTAAAGAATCTGAAAACATTTGGCTTTTAAAATTACAGCAGTTGGTCTCAACAGTTCTGAAAAGCTGAGAACTGTTGTTAAAACAAAAAAGCTGCAGCACAATGGGAGTCCCATTTACATAGTGTTGCCAAATTAAATGACCATGATCAGATATGAGCTTTAGAGAAACACAAAACATAATCTTTTTCCAGCACTGTAATATTATGCCTGCCAGATCATCACAGTATGCTTAAGACCTTGAAATGTTATTGCATTTATTAGATAGAGATCTTTCCTTGTGTTTGTCTAGGTATTTGCCCAGCCTGCTAATGTGGCCATCACCAAAATGGATGTGAACAACCTGGCCATGGTTATGGCTCCCAACTGTCTGCGCTGCCAGTCTGATGATCCTAGGGTCATCTTTGAAAATACTCGCAAGGAGATGTCCTTTATCCGGGTGCTCATCCAGCGGCTAGACACCAGTTTCATGGATGGAATCCTATAACCCCCAGCTGCACACAGTCATCCTCCATACTCACTCACTCCTGCTTCCTCCGCACTCCCTTTAACTTGCTCCATCACATTTCAGTACTGTCCAGCACAAGAACATCGAAATACACATTTTATTGCTGCTGGATGCTTAATCTCCAATGTGTTTACTTTCCTAAAAGCATCAGAAAACTGCCTTGATTTGAATATGTCCATTCAGCATTTTCAGATGAAACTGCTATTTTTCTGTTTCTCCAGGCGTAGTTAACACTTGTGTTTTATATTAGCGTTACAAGGTTTTCACATGACAATACAGTGTGTGCCTTCACATACATTTCTACAGTATACACTTAGGGTAGAGGAATAGGAGGGATTTAGGAAAGATCTCAATTCATTAGATCCAAAGGTTCATTTTAGTTCTTGGAGTTCTGACCTCAAAGGTTGACTCCTGGTTGCTTATTACATAATATTCCTTTTTTTTCCCTACTTCAGCGTACACCAGTGTCCCAGAGGATTCCACTTTCTGCAATCTTCAGTACTGTCCAAACCGTTATAGAGCAGTAAAAATCATCGGCACAGGGATCGGGTCAAGTTATGGCAGCTGAAAACATTTTGAATTTTTGTTTGCTGCCAGTGAGAACAAAGCTGCTGTTCAAACACACTGCGTGCTGCATTGTGTGTGACTGCAACAATCAAACACAGATCAATTTCATTTTATTTATGTAGCACCAAATCACAACAATAGTCGCCTCAAGGCACTGTATACTGTCAGGTAAAGACCCTACAATGATAGACAGAAATTCCCAACAATCAGGCTACCCCCTAAGAGCAAGCACTTAATGACAGTGGGAAGAAAAAAATCTTTGAGGAGGAAGAACCCTCTGGTAGAAGGAACAGCCATCTGTAGCTGGTTGGGAGTAAGGGGAAAAACAGAGCTGAGTGAGCGATAACAAAAGACGCTGTGGAAGAAAGACAGGGTTTAATAACAAGTAATAATTAAACATGATTTAAACACCTGTGGTTTTAAAGAAAAAGATAATGTGACAACCTTTCTGACTAATTAGACAATTTGTGAAGAGAGCATGAACACTAGCTCACAGACTCCTTGTTTTTTTGGATGTGACTGCTCTGATCAGTGTGTGAATGTGTGCGTGAATGGGTGGATGACTGGATGTGTAAAGCGCTTTGGGGTCCTTAGGGATTAGTAAAGCGCTATATAAATACAGGCCATTTACCATTTACCATTTGATCACTATAATTGTTAGTACGTGCTACACATGAGGTCTGAATTGAACAAAACATTTTGTATGCCGCATTATGAAAAAAAGTTGGCTGTTTATGTGGCTCACTGTTGAGAAATGTTAACATAACAAGTTACTTCCAACATGCAGATCTTGAAAAGTCTGGAATTAAAGAACTAAAGGTCAGACCAGGTAAGATGAGTGACAGTACAGGAGAATACTTTTTCAGGAGACAACTATTTCATCTTCTGCAATACTTTATCACAAACTAGACTCTGAATGACGCATAGAAAGCCCTGAATCTGTTTAAAAAGGGTTATTAAAGTGGAGTTTCCACATTTGAACAAACTGAAAATGGTTAAAAGAAATCTTGCGCACTAAAACCTCAATCTCCTCATATACAGTCCTCTAAAAAAATTAAAGGGATGCTTTTGAATCAGAGTATAGCATCAAGTCAACCAACTTCTGTGACAGTGAGCTGGTCAGATTAAGTAGCAGAGAAGGTTGTATCAATTGTTTTGATGTTACTTCAATTAACATTTCATTAAGTCTAGGTGCACTAGAGGAGCGTCTGTGAGGAAAAAACCCAAAACAGGAATGGCTTTGCAGGTGAATGACATTTTTTCCCCTCCTTGTCTTTTCTGACTGTTTATATCCACTAGTTTTGCATTTGGTTAGGGTCATTGTCACTATTGGTGACAATGGCAGTGCCTGCATCTTTTAGAGGCTGCACAGGTAGTCCAACTCCACCAACATGGCACATCAATACGTGCCATTGCCAGAAAGTTTGCCATGTCTGGAGGTTCCAGGAGACAAGTACTTACTCCAGGAGATCCACCAGTAGGACAACTCAAAGCCCTACAAAATGACCTCTAGCAGGCCACTGGTGGGAATGTCTCTGACCAAACAGTCAGAAATAGATTTCATGAGGATGGCTGATGTCCTCTAGTGGGCCCTATGGTCACTGCCTGGCACCAGGGAGTCCGATTGGCATTTGCCATTGAATAACAGAATTTGCAAGTCCACCACTAGCACATGTTACAGATATGAAAGGGTCTGGAGAAGCCATGGAGAACCTGTAATATTGTTCATCATGACCAGTTTGGTGGTGACTGTCTGCAAATGCATATCCTTGGAAGGACACAGGGACCTCTACAGGCTAGGCAACAGAACCCTGACTGCCATTAGGTATCGGGAGGAAAGCCTTGGAACGATTGTCAGACCCTACGCTGGTGGAGTGGGTCCTGGTTTCCTCCCCAGTTGTTGGTGGGTGAAGGATAGAACGCCTCTGGGACATTATGTTTCAGTCCACACAAAACAGGAGCCCATTGATGCTCTGGTCCAGATCTGGACGGAGATCCTCCAGGACACTATCGGTCTTCTCTTTAGGAGCATGCCTCAATGGTGTTAAGGGGGCCATGGGGCCATACAAACTATTAAAATACTGCAGCATTTTGAGTTGCGGCAATGAAATTTCTGCGAAATGGACTAACCTGCTGCATCATTTTTTAAACTCTCATTTCGGGGCATCTTTGAATTCGGCCTTCTATATGTTGACAATTTTTATTTGCCTCAAATGATGTGGCATTCTTCAATTCCTAACATTACCAAGTCCATATTAAAATAAATACCCAACATGACTTTTTTCCCCACTGAGTTGACTTGATGTGGTTTCAAAGTGTACCTTTAATTTTTTTTAAGCAGTGTATGGATCACTGTATATTACAGACACTAGGTTCAGTGTCACTACTGATAGCATGAGGCGATTCCACCCTGAGCACACCTAAGCTCGACTTCTGGTCTGGTCAGTACATGGATGAGAGCCCACCTGGGACAGCTTGTAGTTGTGGCAGCTGTGGGTCAGGTGGTAGAGTTGTGTCTATCTGAAAGATTGGTGGATACATCTCTGGCTCCTCCTGTGCATGTCTCAAATAATATTGAACACTGAGTTGCCCGGTATCTGACTGAGAGAACTCACATTTGAGAAATTCTGCATTATGAAACATTTGCATAAATGTCCAGTGCAGAAAAATAAATCTAAATGTGTATATCTTTTTGTATTCTTTCCACTATTCCGAAAGAAGACATACTATGAAACCAAAATAACACAAAAACACTAACGGTAGTGTCTCGCCTTAAGCAGGTATTTGTGTAACTGGGAGAATATTTTAATTCTTCCTGTATCAACGATGGCTATGTTATCACCATACAATTACAGTAAAACTTGTACACAGTTATAGTGCGAACAAAATAGTAACCTTCAGTGGTTTCTGGTGTGGAAAAAATGTAAATGACCTTGCACTCTGGAAATTTTGATGAAACGCTCATGTCCTTTCACTCTGCCATAGTATTTGGTGCTGTTCAGTTAGTCCTGAGCCATCCATGAGCAACACATCCAGGAAAGCAGCTGATAGCAGCACTGCCAATAATGCTGTCAAACACAGCACTGCAGCCCATACCTCTTGACAGGGAAGTGAGAAGTGACAGCTCTTCCATAATACTCCCATCCCAGAGAAAAAGTCCTCATCCACCACCACCTTAGGTCCACTAGTCCTTTCTACACACTGATGACATGTGGATGTGTCTGTCTCCATGCATGTTTGTCCTTCTGTCCATAATTGTTTACAGATTGTAGCCATCTGTACTCTTTGTGCTCTTTGTCTATGAGCAAGTACTGTTGTTACTTGTGTTTGCGATTTGTTTTAATATGTAACAGAATTTCTTTTTTTATTTTTTAACACATTCTTTTATATGATTTAATTTATTTTGTATTTATTTAAGGATATTTGCTTAATGCCTCCCGAAGATGAGCGCTTGTGTTATTGCACAAGTGTGTCTGCGTATCTTTTCACACATGGTGATGTTTGACTGTGAATCTCAATTTGGATGTGTTTCTTTCCATAATACAGCTGAAAGTCATAGTGTGTCTATACAGCTCACTGACTCAGAAATACACACTCCACATAGATCAAATGTACACTGTCACTGTACATACTATGTAAAAAGAAGTATGTACAGAAAAACAGATAAAAAGGCACCATATGTAATAGAGATTGTTGTGAAAGGACCAGGGTGGGTGAGATTTTTTCAGTTTTATTTAAGTCTAATTAAAGTGTACGTTTTGTTACATTAATCAAAGTGGCAATTTTAACTCATTTCCTCTAACATCCACAGGTTTCTACCTACCACCTGTTAAAAAACAGAAAGTGTTTTAAAGCCCAGAGAAGTCATTTGTCTAGAGAAGGATATTAACTTTTAAGACAGCGGCTGGTGCCTATCCTGGCTCTCACAGGGTGAGAGGCACACCATGGACAGGTCACCTTTTGCAGGGCTAGCTGCACAATTTCTAAGTAAAGCTTACTTAAATGTACTGTCCGTCAACTATTAATTCAAGCTAAACATGTTTTGTTTTGTTTTTTTAAATAAAAATTCATTTTCCCTTCTTCCAAATAAGGAAGCTTGAGGCATGAGCATGATTGGGGAAACTACCTCTGAATTATGGAAAATATACAGTCACAATAAAAAGACAGTATACCCTCCTTAAATTATAAGGTTTTACATGTCAGGGCATAATAAAATATTCTGGTCCTTAGCATTTTAATTAGCAAAGGGCATCCGAGGGTGTCTAATTCGTTAGATCATTACAATATATGAAATGCATCATAATTTCTGTACGCGCTGTTTTCCATTTTGGCTTATTTTCTGTAAGGTAATAATAATAATAATAACTTTATTTATAAAGCGCTTTCAAACAAAGTGCTGTACAACTATTTGAAACTAAAAAGATAAAAAATAAATAAAAACAATACATAGCAATACAGGTAAAAGACACAATACAAGTTAAAAACAGTAAAAATTTAAAACTAAAAGCCATAGAATTAAGACTTGTAAGATAGGGTGAACAAATGTGTCTTCAGCTTAGTTTTAAAAACCTCCACAGAGCATGCCTGCCTAATATCTTGAGGAAGGGTGTTCCACAGAAACGGGGCACAAAAAGAAAAAGCACGCTCTCCAATAGTCTTTTTTCTGGCTCTAGGAACCTTTAGAAGGCCAGAGTCCTGAGATCGGAGAGCACGGGATGGAACGTAAAGATGTAAAAGGTCGGAGAGGTATGAAGGTGCCAGTCCGTTTAAAGCCTTGTAGGTGAGCAGCAGGACCTTAAAATCTGCTCGAACCTGACAAGGTAGCCAATGAAGAGAGTTCAGTATAGGGCTAATGTGCTCAAATTTCCCAGTTCTTGTTAAAATGCGAGCAGCTGCATTTTGCACCATCTGTAGACCTCTAAAACTTTTCTTTGGTAGCCCAGAAAGAAGAGCATTACAATAATCAATGCGTGAGGACACAAATGCATGGACAAGAACCTCTGCAGTGTCGCTTGACAAAACTTGTCTGATTCTGGCGATGTTCCTCAAATGATAAAAGGCGGTCTTTGTTATCTCTTTTACATGAGACTCGAAAGAGAGCACCATGTCGAACCACACGCCCAAGTTTTTTACCTTGTCCCTACAAAAAAAACAACAACTTGGTAGCAGCTCATCAACACATTTGACCAACCCTATAAAAGTCTTGGCATTGTGTTAACACAATTGAAAGGAGGAAAGTAATCAGCAATTATCTTAAAGCAACTGGTTGACTGCTGAAGCATCACTGGGCAAGATGGTGAACCCCAAGATGACCAGCATGCATCCACCACAGTGTGTGTGAATGTTTGAAAGTGCTTAGCCATGATTTGTCATTTGAATTTTTTTTAAAAAACACTAAGTACCAGCCCATTTGCTCTCTCTCAAAATAACATGGCAGCATTGCCTAGCTTTTAAAAACTGTATCTGAATGCACAGTGCCACACATGGAGACACAACAAACACCAAGGGGTGATCATTGGGTTTGTTGAGCAGTCACTGAGTCTACCATGAACACCTTTATATACCAACTATTTCTTGAGTGAAATGTGAGGTTAAATCTGTCCAACAGCTAAAACTTAGTCAGACTTCAGTTATGCAACAATGAAAATGACCCCAAGCACACCAGTAGGTCAACAACAGACTTTGAAATGCTACGGCATGAAGATGAGAGTTGAATGCCCACAAAGCGCAATGAACGGGAAAAAAATTAACTGACAAAATGTAAAAATTGTGGAGGAATTTTTACTCCACTCTAGTCATACAGAAAATGATTACTTCAAATTATTGCTGATAAAAGCTCTAAAATTATGCAGTCTACCTAATTTTTCTACTCACCGCGTCTGCAGTTTATTTTTGGGGGGGTAAATATATAATTACACAGTGAATGTGTTGTTCATCTGATGTTGCATTTAACTAGTTTTAAGAAAACCAGGTAAGAACTACCTGATGTTTTATTCTGTCTTGATATGTAAACCTAAGAACTGACAGAGGGTGTGCTTTATTAATCAGGACTTGTAAACAGGAGTTGACTCAAAGTGCTGTGGTATGTTTGAAATGAAGTGTCTTTGGATCTAGGAAAAAATAGTTTGAAGTATTACAATACTTTATGTATTATTATTATATTACAAAGAATTTCTGAATTTTTCTGTTTCCCAGTAAAGAATTCTCTCATTAATTATGCAACAATATCCAACAGATAAAGTACAGCGAAGTTTTTCAGTCTGAAATAAGACGTGTGTAAACAAACAAACCAAAATCTCAAAATGCACTAATTCATTAAAAACACATTTGTGGTTTGTAATCTACTTGTATGTTTTTTGTCATTGAGAAATGAAAGCATAAGAAACCAGTTTAGCTGAAGTTGTTTCTTGATGACACAGTGAGATGAAGTTCCTCATTCGAGCTCTAAAGACTCCTAACTTATGACAAAACTCAGCTAAACCTTTGAGGGGAAAAAAACAATTAAAATAGACAGTAAAAGTAGTGAGCTAGTGCTCCCCATCCAGGTCAGATGTCACAACACTGACACTTCTCACATGTGACCAGTGAACTCTTAAATGTTTTTAAGAGTTAAAGTTGTCAGACGTTGAAATCATAGACAAAACTTAAACTTGTTTCCCACGACAGCTATTTTTTGTGTGTATGTATGAACACAACCAAATGTTTGATTTCTTTTGGGACCACTTAGTAGGTGAAAATCCTCACGGAGGACCAGACTCATGTTGTGTGTTTGTATTAAATGGAAAAGATGGTTGTAGATAGACCCAGTAAATCAACCAGTGAGCATGCAGAAGTAGGGTCTTAACTGTCTTGAATTTACAAGACATTAGAAAAACAAGCTGAATTAAATACATGTTTTAGTATTTAGATCTAAAAATCCAATAATAAGAGGAAGCTCGTTTTAGTCCATTTTTTCTGACTGCTTTCAGAAAACTGTTTTCTAACAGTTCCTACTAATGAATTTGTGGTCAGTGTAGATGATATAAAACAAAGATGAACAGAAGACTGCTCTCCACTTCAGCTCTCCAGGTTTTCATTTGTATCTAATTGTCCACTGTCACTCACACTCTGTCTTAAAGAAGACTCTGGAAGTGTAACAGATGCTGGTTTAATAAACAATTCATATGGCAAACTAATATGTTGTTGCACAACTCATTATAAAGCAGAACACTCAGTGTTCTATAATCATGCGTCTTTTGAAACGCCCAGAGCAGAGACTGATTTTGGTTCAGACTGTTAGGATCACTGCTTCATATAATCTCTAGCTGAGAGGGACTCATGCTGTATGCTGTCATATGGCTTTTTGGGGATTCATACCAAGTTAGTGACCACAGTCACCCTGCACTGGCAAAAAGAAAAGAGCTTTCTAGAAAGTTCTGACTTTATACGTGCATGAAATATTTTATTCTTTCCTAGCTGTCTTCACGTGTTGCTCACGTAGTCTACCATGATGGATTTCCATTCTTCAACTAGCACAACACAGAAAAGGATTCGGATTTAACTTTATTGTCATTACACATCATGAGTACAGGGCAACGGAATAACGAAAAAATACGTCGAACATCTTTAGTGCGATGCATCCTAAATCTCACAGCAACAGGCTGAATGAAATTTGAGCTGCACAAAGTCAGAGCAGAAAAAGAATGCTATAAGAATGATACAAAGTATCAAAAAATTCCTATTATACCTGTAAAACCCACGAAATATTACTTGTCCAAATGTAAAAGATAAAAGTTCCTAATGGTATAGAGTAACTGAGTCTAAATGTTAGATTGGCTTTTATTGTTAATTATACTATATTACAACTCTAGCACTCAAAGTCTTAACTACTCTCGGTGGAGCTTGGTAGTTACAAATACAACAATATATTTCTTAAATATAAAATGTTGAATTTTCACAGTGTAAAACTGATGCTGACATGATGGCAGAGCTGGTTGGACTATATCCATTTATCTGTAGAGGGTGTTTCAAGGAGGACAAGTGCTTTTAAATAAACACATGATGAAAACTGACAAGATTGGATATATCAACATTTTCCCATTAATATATACTTAATAATGTGTTCAAGGTTGTCCAAAACACTGAAGATCCTCTAAAATTTCCTTTCCTAACTGTTTGTTCTGTCTTTATACTAGACAGTATACAGTTTTTGTAAAGGATGATTCACTGAATAAAGTGAATCTTCAGCTCTCCTTATACTAGATGTTATCTAACTCTGACCATGAACACCACACCTACTTGCACCAGTCCAACACAATGCATTATTGTAAATTCAAAACAGTATAAAAAGGTTACCAGTTTATCCTGGATGACACTGCCTTTTCATTGGAATAATACAAAGTTAGTTACCTCAGTTTGTTTTGCAGGAGGTTTTACAACATAAATAAAACACAGCTTTATCTTTATCTTTACATTTAAGCTCTTTTCTTCCTCTCCTGTCTTTCTTCCATCTTTCTCTGAGTGAAGTTATCTCACAATCTTCTTTCCCTGAGAAATACAGCATTACATTAGCTAGCATGAACAGTATTCAAGTATTCAACAAACTGCACATAAATGAGTGTATTTGCTGTTATTTGATGAGCTGACAAAAAGTGCTGCATCTGAAAAACAAATGTTACTGCTTTTAATGCTTGCTACTCTGTAGTGCTAGGTAGATGCTGAAGTACCGCAACAACAATTTGTGACCATCTGCAGTCGTTCTATCCCACTTTAACCCTTGAGCACAGTGCTATAAATGATGCATAAATTGTGTTTTTGCCTCTTTCACTTGTTTGTATGCAATAAGCCCTGGTGACAGATACATGAATAGGACTGCCTTTTTTGTGCAATTATTCCCTCCATTTCAGCTCAAATCGGTTTATTGGTTGACGGTGTGCAGCGACGTAAAATAAAAACTTCCCTCGGATGGATTAAACATAAATTAAGGAGTCAGTTTTTAAATTATAAGGAGTAGAAAGTATATATGTTTGTGTAAAAATGTGGGAAGAAGAAAACGGTCAGAAAATAAATACTCTGATGGAGGCATCGGAGAGCAATTTGGGATTATTGTCTTGCCCAAAGATATTTACATACACTGGAGGAGATGAGGATCAAACCACCAACCTGATGAGGTGACCTGCTCTACCGCCTACAGCGACAGCCACCACATTGCCTTTTGTCTTTTCTGTGCAGTTTGTTACAAAACAGCTGCCTGCACAGCTGGGGAAGATGAGAGATTTTTTTGCAAGTGCTCAGTAAATGACTTTTATAAAATGGAAATTTAAAGCTCAAGAGAGTGTTTACATGTAATCCCCTAATCTATGTTACAGCTTTTGAATCATCATTCAAAGTTGGATTGGATCTCATTTAAATATGGAGGGCCACAAGCACTGAAAACTGAATAAATACATCACTAGTTAGTTCATTAATGTGTCATTAATTAATAAACATGGGAAATAATTAATATTTAAGTAATTAAATATCAGTTTATTTCCTTATAATTCATTTATTCATTTCCTATGTTTTTTAACTGACGAACTATTAATTATTTCACAATTTAATTCATTATTTCACTGTTCTTGCGCTGCAGTGATCATGAAGTAATTTTATCTGTCAACCTCTCCCATCAAAGTCAGGTGGTGCTGATGCTGAGTGAGTACAAACCATTGTCTGGTGCAGGGGCATAATTTCCAGGGGGGTTAGGGGGGTTATGACAACCTCCAATAATCAGACCCTACCAATATAACCCTCCTCCCAATAAAATTATGAATTATCTTGCATAAGTAGGCTGCTGATTTTCTTTACTCACCAGCAAAAGAGTTTCAGGTTTAAACATCTGATTTATTTATTTATTTGGACAGAGATATTGACCCATAAGAGTCAAAGACCCTGAAATATGCACTGGATTTTACAGAGGATTTAGCTTCTTTTTTTCAATCCACTGTAGAGTATAAATTTGATTTAGTATTTTGGGGATTTGCTCTACTCATTGCTCCTATATTGGACTGGAACTTGGAGGAGGTTTGGGAACTTTTTTGGAGTTCTGCATCCTCAAAGGGATTTCATTCTGCGTGGCTAGGGAAAGAATTAATCTGCGGTTCTGCGGTGGGTATATTTAGCAGCAGTTTAGAATCGATCGTTTCAGGGGTTTTTTGTGTTTGTTTGTTTGTTTGTTTTTTACAATTTTTCCTTTTCTTTAAAATTAATTAAATAAATTGCCCTTGATAAAATTGGTTACATAAAAAATCCTGTAAAATATCCTAGAACTATCCTGCAATTAAAGTTCAGTTTGTCAACATTCCCTTTTTTGTTTTTGTTTTTTATAGTAAAGGTACAACTTGTGTATGACTTTTTACATCTGATTAAAGTTCTTAAAGGTTCCAAAAGGTTGATTCTGTTCATCTGGACGTAGCGTTTTCAGTGGGGAAAATGTTTCGTCACTCATCCTAGGAACTCTTCTGTCTCAGCTGACTGCAGGTTTCCCCAGCTGGACATTTGTCAAAGCTGGGAAGGAACCTAAAGAAAGCCCCAGCCAATCCAGGAGAGAAGGACAACTGCTGCATAAGTGAAAACCCTTAGTGATCCCATATATGTCAGAAGTATTGAAACAGTTGAGATACACTGCGTCTCTGTGGTTTTTAAACCCCCCAAAACATGCTGTCCCCTGATACAAACAGAGTAATATACAGGGAGTGCAGAAATATTAGGCAAATGAGTATTTTGTCCACATCATCCTCTTCATGCATGTTGTCTTACTCCAAGCTGTATAGGCTCGAAAGCCTACTACCAATTAAGCATATTAGGTGATGTGCATCTCTGTAATGAGAAGGGGTGTGGTCTAATGACATCAACACCCTATATCAGGTGTGCATAATTATTAGGCAACGTCCTTTCCTTTGGCAAAATGGGTCAAAAGAAGGACTTGACAGGCTCAGAAAAGTCAAAAATAGTGAGATATCTTGCAGAGGGATGCAGCAGTCTCAAAATTGCAAAGCTTCTGAAGCGTGATCATCGAACAATCAAGCGTTTCATTCAAAATAGTCAACAGGGTCGCAAGAAGCGTGTGGAAAAACCAAGGCGCAAAATAACTGCCCATGAACTGAGAAAAGTCAAGCGTGCAGCTGCCAAGATGCCACTTGCCACCAGTTTGGCCATATTTCAGAGCTGCAACATCACTGGAGTGCCCAAAAGCACAAGGTGTGCAATACTCAGAGACATGGCCAAGGTAAGAAAGGCTGAAAGACGACCACCACTGAACAAGACACACAAGCTGAAACGTCA